ATTGGTTACCTATTAATTTTTAATGGTGAATTACGAATAAAATGTGTGATTGATGATGATTAAAATAATATCTGTATGGAATAATTGTTATTATGGGAAGTAATGCTAAGTAATGCAGTTCCCCCTCAGTCCTCTTGTCAACGAGGTATACCATTAAAAAAAATAAAAAGGAAAAATTGTTATGTACCATATTATTGTGCAAAGTACCATAATTTTTAAAGGTTGGTACCATTTTATCAAATCTGCTGTCTGGCAAGGCTGCAGTATACGGGCGATGGATAGTAATACTGTAGGTCTCCACTGGGGGCACGTAAAATAAATATAATTAATTATTTTCGTAATTTTTCAGATCAAAAAAAGGGTTTTACGGGGTCTGATACCATTCAGTATACATTTATGGTAAAATATTAAAATTTTCAGAGTTAATAAATGAGAATTTTATCTATGATGTAGCGTTTTTATTTTTTTGGTAGCTCAACTCAATAGTTTAATAAAATTTAATAAAAATTTAAAAATTTGATACATTTTTACAGATTTATATATTCATATATAATTACACTATCAACAAAATACGAACACTACATCATAGATAAAATTCTCATTTATAAACTCTGAAAGTTTGAACATTATACTTTCAATGTATACGGATTTGTGTCTGTCCCCGCGAAACGTGTTTTTACATTAGAAATATAGATGTGTGGCGTCCTCTTAAGTTGCGGGGCCAAAATATCGCGGACGCTATTAAACCATTGAACAAAAAAAAGCGACGTTGGTCACAAGGGCGTAGCCCGTTTCGCCCGGGTACCCGTTTTGCCCAAATTTTGTTTTTATATGATTCCCGTTTCGCCCAGAGTAKTTTAGACCAATTTAAAATTAAGTTGGCAATAGTTCAGTCAAATACTTGAGTATCATTTAGCGTTATCCAGAAAACACCACTTTGTTTTCCAAAAATTATACACACGTCATTTTTTTTTTTTTCACAAAAGTTTAACACATTAAAAATTTAGTCCACACAACATTTATAAATACTTATCAATAAAAAATCAAATTAACGTCATAAAAATTTACACATATCTTRTAMAAAAWATCGATTTTAATCGTTCAAAATATAATTATTAATACCACCTAAAGTTTATTTTTAAAATTATTACACATGTTTTTTATGAATTCATAACGAGTAATTTCATTCGATAACGACTGGATTATTGCTATAGGTATTATAACGTTCCCTAAAATATACCTAATATTTGACTGAACTATTGCCAACTTAATTTTAAATTGGTCTAAACTACTCTGGGCGAAACGGRAATCATATAAAAAYAAAATTTGGGCAAAACGGGTACCCGGGCGAAACGGGTACGGTCATTTTTTCCCGCCCGGTCACAACTGGGCAGAGGTTTCGGCGGTGACATGCGACGAAAACAGCGGTGCTGACAACTTCGCGAACTTTCGTCGCGCAGTTGCACCACCTTAGGATGATCGGTTGCCCGGGTGGTGGGAAACATATACGCGTTCGAACAAAAAAATTAAATAGTATAAGGAGAGAACTTTGCAGAATTAATTTGTATTTTTTTTTTTAATGAGAAATATTCCAATAATACATCTAATATGTCTCAATTACTTAAAAATTAAGAATCAATGTTTTTAAATTTAATTTTAACAAACATTGCTTATTCGTAATTGATATATGGTTGATGTATGTTGATTTATTCTTTTTATAAATAATAATTGTGCTGTAGAAAAGTGGTCAACTTGGATGTATCATTCTAAAGTAAAATCAAATAACTTACTCATGCAAATGCTGTGTTTATCCGTCTCTGAAGTACGTAAAATATAATATAATATAATAAAATATAAAATAAAAAAAATATAAATATAATATAATAAGTTGTAAAAAACGTGTTTATTTTATATTTCAAGATAGGGCTTCATGAATTTTAAGGGAACGTCACACCAGCTTACTAATACCCAATATAATATTATGGGTTAAGTGGATATTTTTTATTATTATTAACATTGGTAGTTAATATTTAACCTATTTATTACACACTTCAAATTAAAATATAAATATAGGTATTCGGATAAGGATAATAATATAATAAACTCGATTTCTCTTGTACCGATATTCTTATTATAATATACTGTTATCAGGGCCGTATTTAGGGGGGAGCTACAGGGTACTGTTGCCCCGGGCGTCTGAGTAGGAGAAGGCGGCTAATTTTTTTATAATTTAAATTTGTATTTTGAATAATGATTAATGAGGCGTATTTTTTTTGTTGCCCCTTGGTGTCAAATTCCTAAATACGGCCCTGACTGTTATTCAAAAAGGAATAACTGAAGAAACTAAAAATGTATACCATATTTTTATTTATCGATTCCTATACTTGATACAGTTTTCAAAATTTTCATCGACATTTTAAATTTTTTGTTTTTTTAGTTTTTTAGTCTACAAATGTCATTATAATTTTATTCATTGGGTAAAAACACTTGAAAATTTAATATAAGGTTTCCTATAAGTTGATATAATAGCAGTTGAAAAATATTAATAATACATATTAGGCTCGTTTTAATTTTATAACCGTTTCAATTTCAAATTTTAACAACATATTTTATTTTATTGAAATATCCTAATTATTTATTTGTTAACATTTTATGAATAGTTTAACTTTGATAGTAAGTAGTTAATTATGTAACAAAATCAATCTCAAACCTATAAAAACACAATTTTTATAGTTGTTATATATTCAATTTTGGATGAAATTACATATTAAATAGGTAACCAAGTATAAAAATTTTAGTTATACAATCGTAATTTAAAAATATTTTTCGTGGGTACTTTAAATTTCTAAAATAACTTTTTATTAAAATAAATTGTAATAGTTAATGTCGTTAATCATTTACATTAATACTTTCTAGTAAATTGTATAATATATTAATATACTATCCATGAACGAATGAGTTGTGTACATAATGATGCTGATTTGATTCATTTGGAATTTATTTCATAGGTAAATTTTATAATTTATAAAATATATCATAAACATTAGTTTGTTACAATGATGTGTGTGTGTTTTTTTTTTCTGTCATCACGATATGTCATAACTATTGTTAAAATAACAGTTGAAAAATAAAAGAAATACATAGTCATTTTACAAGCATTCAAAGTTTGAATTTTGACCAAATACGTAAAAWTYACGAAAATTCACAATTAATTTTAAGCTAGAAATTCATAAAAAATTTTCATTTTATATCTAAGATTTGAAAATTTATTACAAGATTCCTTACAAGTTTTTCAATCTTTATCAAATAAAAAGTCCACCGGAAATTCAAATTAAGTTTTTATGAGTGTTAGAAATTTAAATTTTTACAACATTGGATTTTCACTAGATTCCTCATTTAGTGATTTCCTTATTTTGGTGTAACTCTAAAAAAATGACCGCAGATACCTGAAATTTTCACTGAATGTTTATATAGGCATTTTCTATATTTGATAAGATTAAGTTTTAGTGACTCGACGTAGCGGAGAGCGGAGTTAGTTATTACAGTAAAGACATTTTATACTTTCAATCATGGTAACACTGTGGAATTGGACGAAAATATTATGTTATCATTAATAAAATTAGTAATAACACGTCATGTTTTGTAAAATGTCGGTACATTTTATCTGTGTTTTGAATTAACGATGTTTTTCTGTCGTTTGTTATCAAAAGTAAATCTTTTCCCGTGACTTACGTTTTTAATTACAACGCACAAACATAAGGTAAGATTATTTTCTTATTTAATATTTGTTCATTATGTAGTACTGCATCATATTCTACTTAAAGAATTAAATTTCATTGATCCATTTCCAATAAATTAATTAACATAGAAAAAAAAACGATATGAGGCACTTTGTTACGTTTCGCAAGGGGTATGTTGTTACTTGTTAATATAATGACTTGGCTCAATCAAAATAAATATTTATATAATAAATTATTATTTATATATTTATTATTGTTATAAGACAGTCCGGACTTATATTACAAAGACAGATCGTAGTCAAGTACTTGAAGATATATTCAAACCAGCAGCAGATGAAGTAATTTCAAAACAAAATTCACTCAGGAAAGCTGCTGAAAAGTACGATATTAATTTTATGACACTTCAACGTTATATTAAAAAAAATTCAAAATCATTCTTGTGTAAAAACTGTAYACTTGTTGGTTATGCAAAACCTAAACTAATATTTTCTGAAGAATTAAAGTTAGTTAGTAATAATATTAGAACATTATTCTAAAATATAATATGGTTTAACTTCTTCAGATGTAAAAAATTAGCATAATATGAATATGCAAAATTAAACGATGTTTCGTATCCTGAAAGCATGTAAAAGTATAAAGAAGATTCTAAAGACTGGTTTTCATCATTTTTAATCATTTTATTAAGTTTTAACAATGTTTTATTATAAAAAAGAAAATTGTTTATTTATATTTTGTTAAATTTATTATGTTTCTAAATTAAATAATGAATAATTGTTTATATTTTGTTTTATACTTTGATATGGGTATTTATTATTATGAATTATGTTTACCATTACTCTTACTGTTGATTTCTTATTTATTTTGGGTAATAATATTTCTAAATATAGACTGTAACAATGTGCCCCTGGACTGTAACAATTTACCTCAACCCGGGGTGCATATAAGCATTCTACCTATACGTGAGCTCGGAACCTGTATTAAATTCAAGCTCTACGATTGTTTTATTTGAAAATACCGCCAAATAGTGCACATAATCAATATAATAATATTGTTATCACAGAATTATGAAGTATTATATGAAATCAATTATTTATTTCAATTATATTATATGGTTTTGTAAATTATTATATTCTAATGACCAAAAACAAAAACAATAATATTTAAATAATTAGAATAATATTACTAATCTAAATTGTATCAAAATAGTGTAATATATTAAATACATTATATGTATAGACTATACATAGGCGCAATTTGGACAATTGTTTTAGGGGGGCTAAATTTATAAAAGCAACAGAGGCCCGCAGGGGCTCCGCCCCCGCACCCCCTTACCGCTAATCATTTTCAAGACCATAATTTAATACACAAACACATTTTTTGGTACTCACTACTCATCATTAAAAACAAAATAGTTGATAAAATCAAATACAATATACAACTCAACATTTATCAATGAAAATGAATTGTTTATTTCTTATTATAATTATATGGTATAATAATTGTGAACGGCGATTAGACATGGCAAATTTAATTAGTATATCTTCATTTGCTAAACTACAAGAAATTTATTTTTCTATATATTAAACAGATGCATTAGAAAATCTATCTTGATGCATAGACGTCCGTAACCAATTTTTTATCTTMCTCATCGCTGAAAAAGACCTTTCACATGTACTAGAAGAAATTGGTATAGTGAGAGACTAAGATAAAAAAGTATATAAATTTGGATATATTTTGAAATTTGCAACTAATTTTAATTCCTCTAAATCAAAATTCAATTTGATACGTGCAGTAAGGCAATTTTTCGCAACCAACAATTCCGAACGAAGAGCATCTACATCCACATTTACTAGACCCTAAAAATAAAACAAAAGGTAAATTTATCTAAATGTAACAAAATATATAAATTCAATCTTAAACAATAAAATATTTACTTTATAATGTTCGATGAAATATTTACTGTCATCATAATTCAGTTTATGAAAACTATTGATTGATGACGCCATTTGTAAACTTTCGGGTGAAAATCTTTTTTTTTAGTTAGTAATAATACAGTCTATAACTTGATAATAATCGTTGCAACTCTTACGGTAAATATCTGTGGTCGTAAAAACATGAAAATCATTCAAGGTTTTTGGCTGCTTTTTTTGGCATTTTGCACAATGACCTTTAAATAAAATAATAATCTATATAAAACAGCCATGTGTATGTTAAATATACAATATGAAATATTTACCAGTAATGAGAAAATCTAAATTATTATACTCAGCAAAATCACTGATCTTATTCCAGGTATTTTGAAATTCAGTTTCCGCTCGCAATGATTCAAAAGTCTTTATTACTCCTTCAATTAAATTAACAGCACTTCCTAGCGTTACACCTTTATTTTGAAGCTTAGTATATAATACATTTAAAAAAAAAACACTTGTTTTACCTTTTATTTACCTTAACATACACATCTTTATTTTTTGTATCTTTAGTAGAGAGTTTAATTAAAATTTCAATTTTTGCTTTGTAATCACTGCTCTTTGATTTTTCTATAATATTTTCTTTAGGAGATTTTTTATAAAAGGAACWATGGTGACATTTAAATATTTTCCTACATTGATATTAAAATTCATAAAATCAATATTATATTATAGGCAATATTAATGTAGACATATAATTATCAAATTGCTATAAGTAATAAGCAGTTGATTAATAGGTAGGACTTATAGTCTATACATATAATGTATTTAATATATTACACTATTATGATACAATTTAGACTTAAACCAGTCGTAGAGCTTGAATTTAATACAGGTTCCGAGCTCATGTATAGAATGCTTATACGCCCCCGGGGTAGGTTGTTACATTTTGACTTAGTGACTTTACCAGGGTTTTTTTAGTATTAAAAATTAATTTTTTAATTTTACTATCATAAACAGATATCTATGAAGTTACTTGATAGAATAGTGTTACAAAAATTATGATCATAGTAAATTAGTAAAAGAAAAATGATAAAAATTCGATATGTCAAAAGTGTAACAACCAACTCCGCTCTCCCCTACCTTTATACTTCGGCATATTCCTTGCTGCAATTAAGGCTGCATAGGCTTTCGCACAGGGCGTGCCCAGGCACTAGGCCTAGGTAGGTGACAGTGGACGATGGCAGAATAACTTGATTATTGAGTATCATATTAGGATGTGTTAAAATTTGTCTACGAGTAAAAATCATAAAGTGGCTCTTCTCAGGATCAATAGTAAAGAACGCTGTAGTTAGGAAATGGAAATTTGTTTTAAGGAGCCTCATGAAAATGACCAATATAGGGTTTTGGTAGTGATTGTTATGTCGACTGCGGTATTGGTGAAAGGGGAGTGATTGACGCGTGTGGCAGCCCCAGAATCAAGGTTATATAAATTTAAGTTGCTAAAATAGGTATAAATACTATTGCTGCGATGGTTTAGGTTATTATTATTGTCCCAGGTCGGATGAAGACCATTAACGTCACCACCTAGAATGGAGTTAGTGCCAATAAGCTGAAAGATGCTATTGAGTAAAGCCGTAGAAGGGTTGGAAGAAGGAGGAATATATAGGGATCATAAAAACAGGGAGTTATTGGAATTAATGAATGCCTCAATACCGACTAAATCKATAGATTGKCAAAGTARATTATTCTTAAGAAGATTATCAATTGGAAGCGTTTTGATATAGATGATTGGTGGGCAGCAATAGCGACGCTACCATAGCCGTCAAACCGATTTGATAGTACGAAATTGAAGTGTGGTAAAGAAAACTTTTGACCGGGTCGGAGCTAGGTTTCGGATAAAAGCGCAAACGAGCATTCTTCGGAGTGGAGAACCGAGGCGAGGTCCAAAGAACGCGATCGAATACTTCTCACATTCCATCGTAGTATTTTATAATTATTAGATGAGTTCGTTGGAAACCGAGGAGAGTTAATGCGATCGTTAGTACGTATTATCATCATCAGAGCAGGGAGATAGAAATTTGAGAAGTGAAGACCCGATTAGGGATTTAAGAGAGGATGGGGAATTAATTTGCGAATTGACAGACTGTAATATCGCCGACGATATCTGTTCAGTGAGGGATTCAATAACACTGGATTGTGAGTCATTAAGGTTAGGTTGATCAACAAAGTTAAAGAAACTGCCATTTTAGGGAAGTATGAAGGAGTATGCTGTGGTTGAGAGTGGGGGGATTGAGATGAGTTAAACTTGGATGTGCCAAAATGTTTTCTTTATTATTTGTAATTTATATTATTCTTATTGACTATTTTGAAAAAAAACTTAAATATATATTAGATTTTTGAAATTTTATTTTTTATTGTATTTTGACTGTTAGCGATCTTTTTTTTTGTACATATGGGTAGCACTGTCGGTCGGCCCAATGGCACGTCTCCGCCGCCGTATCAAGTTCGGTTCACTGTTTTTCGCCGATACCGTGGGGCACGACGCTTGTGCTCTCGGTCGAACCGCCGTTACTCGCCTTTGAATTAATATAATTGTTTTACGCTCCGGCGTCGTTTGTTCGTAATACCTAATAAATCTAGTGATGTATTAAATCGTGTGTTAACATTTTGTTTACGAATCCTGACAACCCCCCTATTCAGATTTAATAGCTTTCATGACTATAATATTCTAGCTCATATAGCACTATAGCAGCTAAAGACATTAATTTATATTGTTATTATTATTATTGTTACTATATAATATGATTCTCTATTTTTAAACGCAACTTAAATTTATATTATTTTTATTTTATGATTTTTACTAGACCCGGGAAAGTTTACTATCGGGAGAGTTTACAATCGCCAATTATATTATATAATTCATGTAACAGACGAATGTTTCTCTAAGGACATAAAATACTTTTATGATTTCTACTATTTCTAGATCTGTAATTCAAAATCAATATATTCGCTATACTTTATTCTAATTTACTACTACTTGTATTTTTCATTAATTATTTGAACTACCTATCATGTTAAATATAATAAGGTACTTAAAATTATATTATATTATAATAATAATAATTATTATTATTATATTGTTTGTAGCAATTATTGCTATTGTATATTATCATTAGTATTATTATATAAAACTATGTAAGAAAATATAATATGTGTGATAATATTAAATAGGTACTTATATAAAATTAAGATTTGTTATACATATAAAACGGTTGACTAAATGGCCGATGATAATTAATATGGGAACTACCTTAAAGTACCTACCTGCACTATCATCCGAAACATATTCCAAGGCTATAAAACGTTAGATTACAAAAAACATTAAACATTTATAAAATATATATTAGTACATTAAATATATATATATATATATTAAAACTGATTTTATGGACAGCTGTGTTGTGTGATCAAAATCTCTATGGCGCACTCCCCCAGTAAAAAAATGTTGACTGTTTCTGATTAGTCAAACATTTAGTTTTATAATAAACTTAATCGTATAACATAAGAGTGCTTTTTTTGATTATTAGTTTACAAAATTTACATAATCCTTTAATGTTTTAGTGGCATTACGTACCACTATTAATTCTGTTTACGGTATCCTTGCGCAGGCCTGAAAATGTTAAATTTTAAATGAATTTGAGTATTTATAAAATATCTTATATGTATATAAAATAGTATATTAAATGAAAATTTCGGGATGTGGGGTGTTTCTGTCAATATATGTTAGTACTGTTTTTTAGCCATCTGTGTTGTGTGATCAACAGCTCTATGACGCACTCCCCCAGTAAAAATTTGTTGACTGTTTCTGATTTGTCAAACATTTAGTTTTATAATAAACTTAATCGTATAATATACTTGTACTTTTTTTGATTATTAGTTTACAAAATTTACATAATCCTTTAAAGTTTTAGTGACACGACGTACTTTCTTTAATCATCAGTAAGGTAACCTCGTTAATGGCTGAAAACGTTAAATTTTAAATGAAATTGAGTATTTATAAAATATCTTATATGTATATAAAATAGTATATTGATTGAAAATTACGGGATGTGGGGTATTTCAGTCAATATATATTAGTACTGTTTTTTTAGCCATCTGTGTGGCTTTAGATAGAATGGTTGCGCGTCTAGGTACGTATGTTAAGTTTATTAAGTGACTATGCAATGTACTCAAATTAATTCACTGACAGTTAGTGCCATCTAGCGTTGTATATATTATGTTTTACTAAATCGTGCTAAAAACAGTAATTTTKTTTTTGGGTATCTCAAATHTCAATTWTTCACTGGCTGTTTCACTTTACTTCTTTGCACATTGTCAAYCATTTACTATTMTATGGACTACAATGTTGTCGTTGTTTAATTTTAATACTTACTATTATACTAGGTACATATTTACAACACATTTTTATAGTAGGTAAATCGAGCAAATTAATTACTAATATATTCAATTGTACACTGAAATACAAGTTATAAGTTAAAAGTGCAGTAGTAATTATTAAACATTTAGATAAATAATTTATGTATAATATACACTGTGAAATATATAGTCAATCTATAACTCAATAATGCAATTTAAATTAATTAATTAAATAGGTACCAAGTAGCTAGTCATGACTCATGAGGACAGTTTAAGCTAAATTATAATCAACTAATCAAGGTTTATTTTATAATCTTTTGATAATTAAAAATTAAAATATGATTTTGGTCAATAAAAAAATCGTGGTTTATATTCCGTGCAGAAAATAAGCATTATAAATAATAATATCCTAATATGACCGCTGGATCACGTTAAGAGGTGGTCAATTGATGTAAGCACTTACTCTTGCCACTATTTTTCGGTCGACGGGCAACCATTCTATCTAAAGCCGTGGTTGTGTATCAACAGCTCTATGGCAAACTCCCCCGGCAAAAAGTTGTTGACTGTTTCTGATAAGTCAAACATTTAGTTTTATAATAAACTTAAACGTATAACATACGTGTGCTTTTTTTGATTATTAGTTTACAAAATTTACATAATCCTTTAAAGTTTTATTGACAAGACGTACTTTGGTTAATCACAAAAAAGAAAATCTCGTTCTCGTCTGAAAATTTTAAATTTTTAATGAGATTGAGTATTTATAAAATATCTTAATATCTTATATATAAAATAGTATATTGATTGAACATTGCTGGATGTGGGGTGTTTCAGTCAATATATATTAGTAGGTACTGTTTTTTAGCTATCTGTGTTGTGTAATCAACAGCAGGCACAATTTTTTTTATTAGCATTTGAAGTTCAAATATTGACACAAATTCGTCAAAGCCATGAATATTTGCAAATTATTTTGTAGTTCAAAATTCATAAAATGGTTTGTATTTATATCTAAGGTTAAAAAATTCAACACTAAGTTTTCCAAAAGATTTGATTCAAATAATTATAGAGAAAATTTGAAGCGTAATAATAGGAAAAATGTTTTGAGAGTTTGAGTTTTAAATATTTATGAAATCAGGTATATGTATATCTATGATAATATAAGATATTATGAATTATGATAACTACATGCAATGTTTTTGAAAAAATTGATTAACCATGCCTTATGCAAAATGCGTCCTAATTGAAAATAAAATATTTGTTTCAAAATAGAATATATGACAATATTTAAATGTAATATAATATCATAGAATGAAAAATCATCTCCGTTCAGAATCGTTTTTCGCATACAATTATGCAATCATTGCATTCAAATTTAACCTACCCTAGTCAGAGCTCCAACCCACCCCCTAATGTACGGCAAAGCGATACCCACTTACCACATTTGTCAGCCATCTTAATGACATCATTTATCAGGGCTGAAAATGTTTACAAAAATTAGTTTACAAAATTTAAATAATCATTTAAGTTTTAGTGACTTGACGTACCATTTTTAATATCTATTAAGGTATTCTTGTAATTGTCTGAAAATGTTAAATTATAAATGAAATTGAGTATTTGTAAAATATCTTATATACAAAATAGTATATTGATTGAAAATTGCAGAATATGGGGTGTTGCAGTGAGTATATTATATTAGTACTGTTTTTTTAGCCTTTTGTGTTGTGTGATCGACGG